GGCTTCTATCCCACTAGTATGTGCCTCATTCTCCGTACTTTGTTGCGTATGTAGTGCAGTTAATCTTGCTTGCTCGTGGTGGCTCTGATTCGCAGTGTTGGAGGGATATAGTTGATTTTGTGTTCCTTTGATTACTAGTGTTGCACTTCCGTTGGCGGGGGGGGGTACCTTCCTCAATCTGTGAGTGAATATTGCTGTTCGTAGTGTCTGGTGCTGTAATAGCATTCGTACATTTAGTGCCTTCCCAGATGAAATATTCATCTTCAAATATGAACGCATCACGGCTTTGCAGTATACGCTTAGTTATTGGTGAGTATATGCGATAAGAGTCTGGTGTTGTATCCAGGGGCTGTGCAATTAGGATTCCATCCAATGCCCTGTCGTCAAGTTTACCGGGATCACGATTCTTGAATGCGATGTGACATCCAAATGTTCTGAACATATCTATCGGAAAAGCATAGCCAGTGAATTTCTTGTACGGTGATTTGTTCTTCTCGTCGGTTGGTACAGCATTATATATATTGGTCGTTAGAATGATAGATTCAGCCCACATAATTGTTGGCAGTCGAGCGTACTTCAGTTGTGCCAGCATCCTAGGTATCAGTGTTCCGTTTAGACGTTCTATTTTTCCATGGTATTGCGGTGTGGCTGTTGGTGCGTATCTGGAGCAGTATCCTAAATGTGCGAGCATGCGTCTAGTGACATTAGCTGTAAACTGGGAGCCTCGATCCATTTGTATACACTGAACTCGACATCGTGATAGTATGTACCATTCATCGAAAGTGTGTAACATAGCGTCAAGGATTGTTGTTGCTTTCACATCGCCCACAGGATATACCTTAGCTATATTGGAATAGTCATTTATGATCGAAACAGCATGTGTGTTGGAGCCGATTGATGCTGTAAACGGGCCGATGATGTCAATGTAGATTAGCTCAAGAGCCTCAGCTGCAGGTTCATGTTGTCTTTCCTTGTTAGTATTCTTGTACTTCTTCTTTGATATGGTGCATGCTTTACATCGATCTTCGGGCTGTCTGATGTATGGCAGATGTTTTGGAATGTAGCTAGTATGCGCTAGTCTGTTGTGCCATGTAATTTTGTTGGCCATCTCCAGTGTTGGTTTGGCTGTAGCCCCAGTTATATCGTCGATGTGCACAAAATATATTCTGTGTTTTTCATGCTCTGTTATTGTTTTGAAGTTAGGCAACAATATATACAACATACTGTTGGTAAACTCAAATGAATAGAGTCGAGCCGAGAGCAGGCTGACACTTAGTAGGGCTGTTTTGAAGGTAGTGACTATGAGTACATCTCCCAAATCTCCCAGTTGTGCCACATACTTAGGATAAATGATGGTTCCATTTGGCACTTCAAGTGCGTCCCGGTCATTGACGCACATCTTGTGGATGAGGTAATGCTGATCATACTTGTATGGGAGTACATGAATGGTAGCGCAACTGTCACAAGCTAGTCAGTATCCACGTTCAGGATTCCTATTTGGTCGATCGTTCACATCCTTATTGTCAACTGTAGAGTCTATAGCCGAAAACGCAATTCGTCTGTCAGAACGAGGAAAGTCATTGAATTGCGCTGACTTTGCTTTGTCTTTTCTGCCGTCCCTTGTATGGCGTCGATTGTCTTGAGATCGATAGGTGCTATCTCGGTCTTGAGAGCGCTGGATGTCATGTGCCACCATTAACCTGAGTACCATTAGCCCTAAACCCTAAACCCTAAACCCTAAACCCTAAACCCTAAAACCCTAAAATCGGTATTGACGTTGACTTTGAGAAGCAGGCTAAACTCCTCGACTGGCCAACACCTCAGCGATACATGGACATTGCCTCCGCGTTGGGGTTAGCTAACTTCTTGCACGAACATCTACCCAATTTCGCACACGTGGTAGCCCCTCTACGGGAGTTTTGCAAGCTGAAGACGAATGAACTGATCGGAGATAGGTGGGAACAACGCCATGCGGACGCGTGGACAGCGATGAAAGACGCGATAGTCAACGCGGTCGCACTACACTTTCTAAACGTACTTCTAAACGCATACTTCCCGGTGGATGACGTCCCCCTCAACCTCGAGACAGACGCGAGTGACTACGGATTGGGGCGCGCGCTGTTCCAGTGGGTGGAGGGCAAGAAAAACTACCTAATGTTTTTCAGCAAGACACTAAATCAGGTTCAACAGAACTATGCGACACCAATGAAGGAACTACTAGCGTTAGTCTACGGGTTGACACACTTCCGCGACTACCTTGACGGCCAGCGCTTTGCGGTGTTTACGGATCACAAAGCGTAAGTATATATGAATACTCAACTGAAGCTTAATCCTATGCTACAGAGGTGGCACCACATTATAGCGCCTTGTAACTTCACCATTTCACATATACCTGGGAGAAGAATGCTGAGTCGTATACATGATGGGACCGCGGAAACAGACGTGCCAGAGATACTATATGCAGACTGCTGGCAAATATTTCCCAGCTACTTCGAACAAGCACAGCGTATCTTTGGACACAACAACATAGACGTGTTCGCAGCACCCCATAACACACAGCTTCCTAGGTTTTGGACAAAGAACGAGCGCGACGGTGCAATTGATCATAACTGGGCGTTTGGAGGTTGATACATCGCATGCTTCGGAAGATCAAAGCGGATGGGGCTACAGCGACGATGTGCTTACCTTGGACACCTCGCGCACCATGGTTTGACCTTTTCAAATCATTATTGCAAACCGAGCTGGTGTTAGTACCCCGGACCCCGCATACATTTCTAAAGAATCCGAAGTATGCCTGTGGGAAGACGCCGTGGGGACACACGGTCGTTGCACGAGTGGGGCCGCCGTCAGGTTCCAGCTCGCCGAGAGCTTTACACAAAGATTAGGCTATGCCGAACCTCGACACACACCAAACCATCAGTGTTTGGATACGGCACGAGAGATTTCCGTGACGTTAACTAGTGAGGGGGCACAACCGGCCTTTGCGAATGCCACACCAATGGAACAACAACGGCGTACACAACTCACACAGGCACAGCATGAGCAAGGCCACCACGGCGCTACCGATACTGTCCAACAGTTACAACGGAACGGCCACGTTTGGCCGGGGGCATTAAAACTGGCTACATAAATTAGACGGCAATGTGGACAGTGTTTGAGCCAGGATACCCTACGTAAAGGCTTCCATCCGATGATAAGCATCGATGCGAAGTACCCGTGGGATCACATTCAGGTGGACTATATTCCAATGCCGGTAATGTCCACAAGACAGAATAAATTTGTCCTCCATGTATTAGACGTGGCTTTCGGCTATTCGATCTTACGTGCTACACCAGATAAGACTTAGGAAATCACCGCGCAGATGTTGTTGTCGATCTTTGGCGAACATGGCTTCCTTCGTAAGCTACAGACAGATATGGGTAATGAGTTTACGAACAACATGGTCGCCCTCATTGGGGTGTACTTCACAAAGTATCACCACCTTACAGACCACAGGTGTTGGGAGCAACGGAACGTCGGCACAAGGAGATAACGTGTTCGAAACGCATCGTCTGTGAGGCATTACCCCAAGCATGGGACGAACGTCTCCCTTTTACAATGCTGTACCAGAACTTGCGCATCTCCCGACGACACAAAAGCGCGCCAGTTTAGTGTTTATTTCGAACGTCGACACGTGCCGTTTGCGGATTTCACCGATGACGTCCCAGAGCAACAACCGGTTACTGATGACACGTGGGCACAACGGTTGGACCAGCTCCGGGATACAATTTTGCCTACACTGCATAAGATCACCACGACATATACGGATAAATTGACGAAGACGTTTGATCGGTTACACGCCCATGACTTAGTCCACTTTGATGAAGGCGACGTCGTGATGGTGAAATCGGAGGGGCGAACTTCCAAAGCCATGCGCCCACTGTTTGGCCCATATGTAGTTAAAGGCCGCAACGGTCAAGGTTATGACCTTGCACATAGAGATGGGTCCACTCCCAGGAGTTTAAGGGGAAGCCGGTACGGGTTGAGTTACTACGGTTGGTCCACCGCAGTACAGACCCACCGTTGAACGATGATCTTTGGCAAGAAGGCGGTTCAGCGTTCCGTCACATCATCAAACATAGGACAAATGATGTTACCGGTAAACTCGAATATCTGGTGCGTTGGCATGAGGGGGTGCCGACGTGGCAAACGGCCGAGGCCTTTGACGACGCTAATGACATTGTGGCATATCACAAAGATACACGAACGCGAGCTCGGAAACGCCGGAGAGACCAAAGATAATTTTGTTATTAGATGTAATTTTATGTTACGTGTACTTGCCGTTTAGTCGCCAGCTCGAGTGGTGAACAAATAGCCGAGCCCTCTAGCTCTCTGAGGTTAAATGCCAGCACAATGCTCTAGCTCTCTGAGGATAAATGCCAGCCCTCTAGCTCTCTGAGGTTAGATGCCAGCACAATGCTCTAGTTCTCTGAGAATAAATGCCAGCACAATGCTGTCTCTAGCTCTCTGAGGATAAATGCCAGCACATAACCGCTTTCAAAGCATTCCTTCAATCTTTAAGCTCGCACACTTGTGGTGTTGCAGCTTGGGGGGTTGTAGTCAGGAAGTCCCTGATAGGGTTTATTTAGGATCAGGGGTTATTTGATTAGTTTGGGTTTTATTAGTAGATTGCT